ACTGCTGCAGCTGACTCCTGTCACCCAGATGTTTCATTGTCATAGTATTCTTAAAATCTTTCCTAGTCAATGAGTCACAGCAAACACCAGCTTTTTCAAATCTAACAGATCACTTCTCACCATCTGTGTTCTAGTCAACTATTAATTTATTCATTTTCTCCTTTACTAAACTCAACTCCAAGCTCTATGAGAGGTGTGGTTTTGACTAAAACTTTACTATTGTTCTAACTACTCAGTTTTTAATTAATGCCAAGCATACATACGGCAATCAATACACTGTTAAGTAAGCAAGTATTTATTAGTGGAAATATACTTTCAATTCAGTTTTGAATGATGATGGCTGGTCACACCAATGGCTCCTCAGAGGGGCAAGAGGAGGTAAGAACAGGAAATGCTTGTAGGGAAGGAGAGAGGGATGTCTATCATATAGTTGCTCTCATATGCAGAGTCTAGATTTAAAACATATGTGTACATATAGATGGGTATCAATGTATACATATTTGAATATGAAAGGGGACATCTATTGGGTGGAAATGGATCAGTAGGACAGATGAGGCAGGTAAGAGAAGGTAAGGGTTATGAATTTGAACAAAGGACAATGATATATATGTTTGGGAAGGCCATAATGAAACCATTATATTATATGGTGATGCTTAAAACATTAATTAGAAATGAAATCAGCAATTAATCTCTTTATTCTTAACATTCTGGTACATAACTGCTAGCAGAGCCCTGATCTTTCATCCTTCTTCAGTCCTCAACACTACTAATTCTATTTATAATACATTAAATAAACACAACTCAATGCAGTCTTGAATAGTAACCAACAGAAATAGAATTTCTCCTTGAATGAGTGAAGGCACATGGTAGTGCTGAAAGTGATTGATTCAAGTCCCCTCAATTTGAAGTGAGGAAATTAACACACTCCTACCTAGAAACAATTGGGTCAAGTATCGTCAGTAAGCACCTCAGCCCTGGATCTCTGTATGTGTGCCTGTAATGCAAGTTTTAGACTTTGGGCAAACATTAGGACACATTTTTTTCTTAGGTTTGGCTCCCTAAAAAAAATTGGAATTAAAGGAAATAAAGAAGCCAATTAAAGCTATCATTATCTTATCTGAACTTGAGAGTTCAGTGATGACTAGCAGCTGATTACTATGAAGGGCTAAAGGGGCACAGGCCAGGGAGTAAGAAAGGTGGGAAAAATCAGAGAAGCCTTCGTTTGTGCTGTTTAGGGTAAAATGACTCTTATTTTGTTTAACTTTTTTGTTTACATAAAAGCACTAAAGTCTAGGTAAATAATGCTGGGCAGCAAAGCAAGTTTTGGAAACTTACAGGCCTAAAGGAGAAATTCATAAAATACACTGGGGAAGTTAAGTCGAACAAAAGTACAATGAGCCGTAGTTAAACCGGTTAGTTTGATACGTATATAATTTCATATGTATGTAATCAGGTTGCTCAAGAATTAAAACAAAATCACTATTCAAGAGACACCAGTATCTAGGAAACACCTGCTGATTTTAGTAGCATCCAGTGACCCAGTCATATGATCAATACCTCTTTCTCATGAACTACGCTGTCAGTAATACGCAAGATTCTTAGGCATATTGTGATTCTGCTCTACATTTTGTCATGCCAAGATGAAAATCATATAACATTCTTGCAGCATCAATTGTTCAAAGGTTCAATGTTTCAGTAGTATGTTTTTTTATTTTCCTGAGAGCAATGAAGATTAGATTGTTTAAAGTATCAGCCATCTGGTAGGTGCAAAGCAGACCAGGTAAGCAAGCCCCAAAGCTGGGCTGTCTTGAACGTCGCACAGACTGAAGTTCAATCACATAGTTACTACTTAAGAGGTCTGAAACCCCAAGGAGGTAACTGATCTCTGAACAATTGGGTTTCCTTTTCTGAAAATATACTGTTAAATGTAATATGGAAAACTCCTTAGCACATTATTTGGCGGAGAAGTCTCAAGCAAAATGGCAATGCTAGCAGAGGAAGCAGATGCCAAGTAGTGGGTATGTTTTGACTACCAAACTGCTTGTTTTAAAGTTTGAACATGTATTTCTACAGAAAGAATATTTTTACAAATGGTTAATGGCTGGTTCCTAGATGAGCCTTCAAACCTTTCATTTACCTTACCATTATGTCAGCCAAGAATTCTCCTAATTATCTAGGCATGATGTCTGTCATCCCAGCATGTGGGAAGCTGAGGCAGAGGATGGAAAGTTCAAAACTAGCCTGGGTAAGAGAGTAAGACCCTATCTCAAATAACAAAACAAAACTAGACCCTATCTCAGATAACAAAACAAAACTGTCATACTCTGGCTAGGGTATGTGCTAGATTTCTTCAGGCATTCTTGGCTTTAACACTGGGAATTCTCCTACTCTAGAATACCCTTTAGTCCCAGAAAAAGAGACTCATGATTCCTCCATGGGGAAATTAATCACAATTTATTCATCCTCCCATCTGCAAAACCTGGTACATTCCTAGGTTATGAAATAAAAGTACTGACTATGCATGACCTTTGCCTTTTACAGTCCTGCAAAGGAGACAAGTCAGTGAACAAGAACTCATAAGGCCTATCCTAAATGGTGACAGAGTCTTGTTCGGGATGGCCGTTAATGAATTCATCTTGAAATAGGTGTGAAGACGGCTGGTCAGTGTCTTTCACTTAATAGTTTTGGGCATTTGCATGTCACAGGTCAGCATTACTTCAATATACATGAGAAAGTTCACCTCTTCATATTCTCTTTGGTCATATCTGAACAGATTTTTGAATGACTTCTGATACGTGTGGAATCTTTATGAAATCTTAGCAAAATATACATATAGGTAACCACCAACCCTGGATTTTATAGCAATTCTATCCACTCTATATATGTAAGTTAAAAATATGCTTTGAAAAACGCCCTCTGCTTGCTTTTTCATTATTCAAAATTCATTTCTCAAGGAAATTAGGGTACAACATTTTCAACTGGAAACAAATCTGAGGTGATCACAAACAATCTTGCTGTAGCCACAATTCTGCCACGGTTACTCCAGAGTTAGCCAGTCAAAAATGCTTGCTAGAGCTGGTTATGAAAGAAATGGCGTTCTATCTTAATTTCTTAAAAAACTTTCAGCATGAGTATTGTGCACACTGCCACCAATGCTGTTAGTTCCTAATAGCAGGGTCCCAGGTGCCTGAAAGACTACACAAACTTATTATTTATGACAAAATACGTGAAGTCCTGTGGGCGGGATATGGGGGGCACGAAAAGGGAAGAGGGGCTAAATATGATTAAGATGTATCTTATGAAATTCACAGAAATTCAATAGAAGTATATTTTAAACAACAACAACAATACAAACTTTGAGCATGACTCTGAACACGCCTTTAACGTGGTAGAAATACTGCAGAGGATGAAGAGGCCCAGCCTGCTTGTCTAAGGAAGCGAGCTACCTAGGAACAGCCCATTTTCCACCTGGAGACAAAGGATGACTTTTCTTAGACTCTGTAGGTGTGATGGGGACTTGTCCTGAGGTAAACTGCAACCCACTGGTGCAGGGACTGTGTTCATCCTTCTCATTGCCGTGTCTCAAGCACTTTGGACACAATTGACACACAGAATGGTGGGACAAGCCACATACATTGACAAAGCTTCATCTAATATTTCATCTTAAGATGAAAATCTTAAGATCTATTTCACAGTCTTACCTAAATCTACTAAGACTATACTCCCTGGGATGGTTAATCTTGATTGCTAGTCAACTTGATTGGATCTAAAGTCAGTTAAGAGCCAGGCCTCTGGGCTGTCTGTGAGGATGCTTCCAGGAACTCAGCAGAGACAACCCTCCCTCTAGTTGAGGCGCCCTTGGGGTGGTCCTAGGGGAAAGCAGTGTTCCTTGCCTACTTGCTTTCCACCTCCTTCTGGTTGAGTGTGCAGATCTCGTTGTTACTGCTGCTGCCAAGTCCCAGGTTCTTTGGTTTCCATAGTACACTAAAGACTAGCATCTCTGAGGCATCTAGCTTTGCGGACTGAGTAGCTCCTGGGCTCTCAGCCTCACTAGTGGGCAGACAGCCACAGATGAACTACCCAGATTGATATGTAAGCCAACCTAATGAATCCCCTTTTATAATATTTTTAAATGTAAATGTTTTATAAATATGAATACTTTTATAACAGTATTCATTCTGTTAGTGCTTCTGGAGAAGCCTTACTATTACATTCCATTTCTCAGAAACAGGAGGTATTCAGGTAGCTGATTCCTCTCTTGAATCAGCTCAGCTTCCACTAATTTCTGCAGGTGTTTCATCGAAATATGTCCATCCATTAGAAGACTAGCAACCTGTTGACACGTGTCATAGATCACTTACATTTGGTTTCTATAAAACTCTGGAGTTGAACAATCTTCTTTACTACTCAAAAAAATCGGTAAATATTTTTGACACCAGTAAGCATGCAGCTTAACTTTCCAAGCACAACAAAATTATGTGAAGGTCAGATAGTGTCCACTTGAGATCACATCAGTAATCTTGACCTTTTGGATGAAATCTTTTAAGAATGTGCATGCAATTACTAAAATCCTTTCTTGCTATGGAAAATATAGCGCATGCCATGCTGAAACCATCAATTTAAAGGTTGAACACCTACAGCATCATGTATGTTAAGCATATATAAAATGATTCCAGATCACGGTCTTATTGATGATGAAATTCTTAGTCATTTTAAGCATTCTGGTCTTATTGACTATGAAGTTCTCAGTCATTTCAAGAATCCTGACAAAGGAATATACTAAAATCCCCTTTTCTGACTATCTTGCTCTTACATTTTGGTCTCTCTACATACATATAGAAATACAAATACATAATTTCATACCTGTAAATCCAATACATAAGTTATATATATATATATATATATATATACACACTTGACATACATTTCTAATTCAATGAGTATATGCACCAAGTCTTTATAAATTTAAAATCTGTTGTTTTGTAAATTATCTCTTTTACCTTTGAAGTTTACTACACCAACTGCAGTTGAAGCCAATCTGAGAGGACACACAGGGACCACAGCTATTGAACTGGAGACATGCTAGGAAGCAGGAGAGAAACACTCATCAAGACTGGTCAACATCACAGAGAGGGGGAAAAAGACTTCTCATTCAGAATAAAAATCATCATTTGCCATTGTCACACTCAGTGTAAAATACATGCTGGACAAGCACAATTAGAATCACGTACTGATCAATCACCTGTAGACTTACTGAACAGATCAGACTGTCAAACTTGCAAATCATTTTCCCCACATCACCAGCCTCTCGTTAACTTACTGGGTAGTGGAGTCATTTCCACAGCTGAAATGTTGGTAATTTTTGACATCTGTAGCTCTACTCGGTGATATTCATAAATTGTTCTTCTTCGAACATCTATGAAAATATCAAGTGAAAGAAAATCAGCTGACATTTCTACAGTTGTAGAACTATAGCATTTAAAAAACAAACATAGAATTATAGACATTTACACCTGGTGCAGTGTCTACATAAAGTCCCATCCAATGAAAAGACTGATAATTATAAAAACGAAGCCCGAAAACTCCATGCACATGTATCTGGAAGTATTTTTACCAACGACGTGAAAGGTGCAGCGTGGTTTCTGACACTTTCCGGAGCCGGCAGGACTCCAGCTCACTGTAACTCAGAGTGCTAGAGGCGTCTCGAGAAATTTACATATTTTGAAGGATTTAGCATATGGAATCACAAAGATAAGATGACATGGTTTCTCTCAGACTAAAGCTAAAGAGAATTTTTCAGGAACAGGAAGCAACTAGAAAATGTTGCCATCTAAAGGTAATGTAGAATAACATTAAATATAACTGCTCTAAATGTTAGGGAAAATCTTTAATAGAAGTAAACACGAAAGGGAAAGTATTTTTACTAAGCTTGGTGGCTTCACTTAATACTGTGCTATATTGACAATCTGATGAGAGGACAGATTTTAATTAACCTCTTTTAAAATAAGTGTTCTGGAAAGAGAGAGATAGCTATACATGTATGAGATTCTATGAAATTGTAGAGGGAAGTCAGATGTTTATAACCCAGAAAAATGCTCCATTTACATCCTGTCAAACAATTCTCACACTCAACTAGGAGACACTACTTCAGAACAGGAGGAAGAAGGAAGACAGAGTCTTTCTTGAGCTGGTGTGGTACATGAGTCACTCGCTAAAAACCTCTTAAGGATTATGGAACTAGAAAACACTTTAAAAACACCAATCCAATTAATTTCTTTTTGGTGTAATTGAAAGAGGCATTACAATTTTGCAAAGGGTATGCCTCCCCAATAACAAGAGAAAATGATGATTTCTTAGTATAAGCTTCCTCTGGGTAATGAATCGTGATGGCTTCTTTTTCAAGTTTTGAAGAAAATGATCACCCATCTTCTGCCTTTACTAAGTAGAAAAGTTCTGAATATATTTTATTCCTATGTATTTTGCTCAACAATTTAGTCCTTAAAAGCAAATATATAATAAGGTCTTGGGTCTTCAGGCCAAAGTTTGGAAAGTGCCCATCCTTGTAGCTCGGGCTTAACATATTGGCATTCTTTTGATTGCACAGTGCACTTTGAAAACTCATCTACTGATGACTGAGAAGCCCCTGAGAGTTCATTACTGGCCAGGCCTCTGGAGTGAAAGGAAACGGGGACCATCTCTCCGTGCTAGTTCTGCTACCTGCCTAGCAACTTACAGCTGCTGGGAGGAGATGAGTTGGGACACACCAAAGTTTAAGAGACAAACAAACAAAAAACAGGCAGAGTAACACTCAGATAAAATGTAGTTCAGGGGTCATGACATTCCCGTGATGTTACTCAATATGCAAATACTGAATTATAGGTTGGAGAAAGTTTGATCACTCTCTGGGTGTGGACAGAGTGGCCACAGGGACTCTGAGCACCCTCTCCACACCACATCCACCCTCAACAGATAGTCCAGGTTCCCTTATTTGCTTATCTGCCTTGAAAGCAAAAATTCCCCCAGAGAATACATGGGTAATTTCTACATTGCCCTATAATCATATTTACCAAATATCTTAATACTTTGAATGGCCAAATACACGCTTTACTGCCATTTTCTTATCTGTGCTGTTTGTGCTTAATGACTGGCTTCACATGATGATATCTCATTGATTTCCAGGTTTAAACTGGGGCCAGCTCTTAGCTGGTACATGGTTACCAAATACTCTTAAATGTAAATAGTAGGTACTGCACATTACAAGGTTCATTCTCAGCCTGAAGACTCGGGAAAAGGAGGCTGGAAATTAAGAAAAAAGGATAAGCTCCCCACACAAAGACATGATAACAGCAACAGCTAGTTGGAGTTGAGAAATAAAGTATTTAGAAATCTTAAAAAAATGCATTAGCGACAAGCGTTTTTCCCAATTCTTAGCAGTTTGATTAAATAGTTGCTAATGATTAAATGAAGTGCAGCCATGAAGTCTGTCTGCACCGCTTGGGCATTTCTCTCATCATTCCTTCACTATTCTCCAAGTTTCAGGACATTGCTTGAACCTAAGGATCAGATTTGATCAGCTACTTCCCAACAGATAAGAGAAATCAGACCCGTGAACTAAAAAGCAAGCTCACATTCTCCCTTCTTTTCACAGGCAGCTTCCTAATGCTCAGACAAGCTGCTCTTCCTGATTCCTTTCAGAATCATTTGCTCAGGAAGAAGCGGAGCAGGTGTTAGGAGAGGAGGACAATGTGGGGTCATGGCACACTGCAGGCCTGGTTCTAACATAGCTCTACCCACCAAGGGGGAGCACAGATCCCTGCATCCAAGACTTATGGGAAGATTGTGTATGCACGTTTGCAATGCTGTTAAATCTCGTGTTGTGTCATTAAATCTTATGTCATGTAGTTAAATCTCATGCCATTAATTCTCTTTTTCCTTCCAGAGAGAAGAAGAGACTGAATTTATTAAATGAAAATTATTGAAATGGAGTATGAGTTCTTCACCTTAAAATCAAACGTTCAGCAAAACAAACACAAACAAAGCAACAAGGAATGATATTTATGTAGTGCCAAGTCAGTTAGCGATTGCACCAGAGGGAAAATTCTGTATGTAGCAAAATTCAATTGGAAAAAAATAACACGCAGGCATATTTATAAGTGGAAGCAACTGTAACTAGTTAAAAATACAATGTTCCCTGTGTAGTAGGTAAGTGTAAATCAAACAAATACTTGTTATCCAAAGGGGGGAAGCAATAATTAAAGTGAGGGCGACTATAAATTTGAAGGCAAATACAAGAGTTCATTGAAAAACTATAACATCCGAGGTTAAAATTTAAAGTCAAAAGTCAGATACAAATGGATAGAAAATTTCTGCAAAGGTTGAAGGCCATCTTCATTGCTGCCTGTGCCTCCCACAGTGAGGCAAACACTGGCTGGGCTTTTGCAAAGATGAGCTTTGCATTCCCCATTCTGGGAAAGATAAAAACACCTTATAATGGATTTCTCCGCCTTAGATCATTTAATTTTGTCCTAGTGGATATCCCAATAAGGATGGAATGTCTTGCCCTTTAAACATGGGTTAAAGTTCTTTCTGTGGCTTTTAGGATTTTATATTAGAAACAACATAAATTGGGCTTTTTAAAATAAATCAAGACACAACACTAAAGTGCTAAAAACTTGTTTTCCTTAAGAATGTGGGCTCAGATGAAAGAAAAGTCAACGAATGCACAAATAAATGAAACAGCTTAAACAAGTTCCTGAAGGAATCTTTTCTTATGCGATTCTAGAAAAATTTTCAAATATGCTCAAGTAGATGAATTGGTTTCTAATATCCAATGGTTTCTAATACCCACAAAATTCTGAGTCTTGATTTTTCTTTAAGAATCAACTCAGGGCGCTGGGGAGATAGCTTAGTGGATAAGAGGATTTGTTCTGTAAGCATAAGGAGGTGCTGGAAGCCTAACTACTCAGTAAATGGCTGGGCATGAAAGCATGGTCTGTAACGCCAGCCTCTGGGGCAGGGGGAGGGCAGGTCAATCCCTAGAGCTCCCTGGCCAGCAAACTTCTGGCTCCCTGAAACCCTGTCTCAAGGTAATGGTGCACAGACAGACATGGGAAGACACTAACTCTTGTCCTGCTCTGCTTTCCGTATGGCCCCACAAGAATGCAAGCACCCACACACTCATGGGGATGCACCATACACCTAACACATTCACACCACCATGCTACTCACACATTTTAAAAATCAAGAACAACTAAACACATAAAGTGTGTTAGAAATCTATGAATTAGAATATCATTTTTTACAATGCCCTTTAATCAGAAGGTCTTTATATAAGAGGGCAGGGCTCCTGTTTGTTTCTCCTTTTACCGAGCCTTTGTGATCTCTCAGGCGTGGGAACCCACACAGCTAGTGGAGCTGTGGTGCAAAGGGAACTGATTTTTCTGTTCTGCAGAACGAACAATTGTGAAGGGCTTTCCACTTGGAGAGAGCCAAGGTAAACTGACAAAATTTCCCAAAGATTTATTGATTGATCCAACCTAAATGAATGAAAAGACCGATAACTCTGAAAATAATAAATGAGGCTCTTCTGGAAACAGTTGAAATGCATTCTATGAAATGTTTTCTAAGAAAAAAAACATTTTGTGTCTTCATCTCATTTCTAAAAACGTTATTATTGCTAAATAATTACAATGACTGTGCAACTACCAAATTGCTATATGGCTATATTTTTTAAAATTATTATTTAAAGCTGGGAATGGTGGCACATACCTTTAATCCCAGTACTCAGGAGGCAGAGGCAGGTGGACGTCTGTGAGTTCAAGGCCAGCATGGTCTACATAGCAAGTTGCTGGGGCTACAGGGAGACCCTGTTTCAAAAAGGCCAAAAAAATTATTTAACAAGTATACTTACATTTGAATACTCATTATTTAATCATATTAATATCCTAAGGTATTTTAAAAGTAAAGTAATATTTATGTAGATATTTTATTTGTTATTCAACATTTTATTTAAATAACATATCTAATTGTTTTGTCAGGCATAGCAGCTGCTGGTCGTGTATATGGGCTCCAATGGGGGGGCTATGGGAGGGTACCCATGGGGACGGGGGTATAAAGATGTTTGAGATGTTCTGTATGAAATACACAACAAATTCAATAAAAACAAATTTAAAAAAATGATAGTTATCTTAATGTAGAGTACACTCTTAGATAAACCATATTCCTTTTAGTCACAAATAAACTACTCAGAATACTTATTGAAAGGCACCAAGATAGTCTAAGTGCTTTTGATTCTTACACAAACCACAACAAATATCGCATTAAGTACTCTAGGATTTGTGTAGAAATTACATTATTCCCTAGTATTTATAAAAACAAATTTAATTCAAACTTCTTTTGCCAGAAAAAAAGCAAAAG